ATAATTATATTAAAATTTTATAATTAGCTTAAACACACACACACCCCCTTGGGGGAGATGAAGCCGCACGAGAGGCAGAGAGAAACCATATCGCTTGTTACTTCCCATCAAAATGCACTGCATTAGCGCACCTACGACTTCTGGCACCTAGAAGGCCAGCGAAAACTTGAGGAAGGGGGTGAGAATTATGGGGGCCTCTGGGTCCGGAATTTGTGGGGTGCAAACGGTTAATGCGCTTAGCTGCTAACCTAAAGGTTGGAGGTTCACGTGTACCCAGAGGCATGCTGGAATAAAGGTCTGGCAATCTACTTCTGAAAAATCCTTCCCTAAAAACCCTATGGAGCACAGTTCTATTCTGACACACATGGGGTTCTTCTATGAGTTGGAATTGACTCAACAACCAGCAACAACTGTTGGGTCTGAGGAATGCGTCTGGGGTCCCTGGGTGGTGCAAACGGTTAGCGCACTGTGCTGCTAACCCAGAAGGTTGGCAGTTTGAGTCCACCTGGAGGCACCTCTGAAAGCAGGCCTGACGATCTACTTCCAAAAAACTAGCCACTGAAAACCCTACGGGGAACAGTTCTACTCTGACATGCACAGGGTCGCAAGGTCAAAGTCAACTTGACGGCAAGTGGGCTGGTATGAGCAGGAGGCTGTAAGGATGAAATGCCTTTTTTTTTTTTACGTAAGTCCTCACGGCAATGCTGGGCGCAGACTCAATACCCAGTCCACGTTAGCTCTTTCTCTCATTCAGCCACTCTGAACCCCTCCCCACCCCCAGAGCTACCTGAGAGGCCTCACGGCTGAGCCTGGGAACACATACCCCGCCAGAGCCCGACACAGGCCTCGCTTCCTCAGAACACTGAATCCGCGATTTCGGACACGTAGGCAGCACCTTCAGCCAGCAGAAGAAAGACCCACGAGCAGATGTGTGCACTTCTGAGTGGGTGCTGGGGAGATCTGCGCTCCCAGCCCCTGAGTTCTGAGAGGGCCGGTAGATGCCTTCCACTCTCTCCTTTTCTAGAATAAAGGGGTGCCCTCGCGGCACTGACAGATCTTCCTTGGCGCCGAGCAGCAGGGGAAAAGGGGGCTTTAATTAGTGTAACTGTGTTTATTTTCTTTCCTGCCCCAGTTGTGACAAGAGACAACCTCACTGAGGCTGATCTGGGGTCTATGGAGTTGTGACTGCACAAAAAGGAAACACCCGCCTTTCCTGCCAGCCCTGCCTTCCCCCACCAGCCCTTCCACTGAGGAGTTACAGCCCGAACAGTCTCTCATTGTGCTGTTCAACCAAGGAGAAGAGAAAATTAGTGCCGGCTGATGGCATTTCTGTAGTTTCCTCAAGAAAGATGAGGATTTCTATATAAATGACAATTTGGGATTACAGCCATCCAGCAGCTGAAGTGAAAATGATTTAGTATTTCTTCCTTTTACGATTTAATTTCAAAGCCACAAAAGCTCCTACCAATTCACATTTGCCTTCACAAAATGTTGGCTAAGAGTTTCATTTTATTTAGTACACACCTGTAGTATTATAGGGTATCGTTCTCTGGGAAGCCAGAGGAACGCTTTCTATCCAAAATCAACAAACATCTTAGCGGCTATTTAATTATCTTACAAGATAGAGTCGCAAGGGTACTTGAGAGTTTGTACTGGGAGCCAACAGACAGGGTGAAGATGTCTCTTACCAACAGGAAGAAGGAGCCCTGGTGGTGTGGCTGTTAAGCACTCAGCTGCTAAGCCAAAGGTGGATGGTTTGAACCCACCCAGCGGTCCCACATGAGAAAGGCCTGGCAAGCTGTTTCCTTGAAGATTACAGCCTAGAAAACCCTATGGAGCAGTTCCACTCCATCACTTACGGTCACCATGAGACAAAACTGACTCAACGGCATCTACCACCACCATCACCACCACCATCATCACCACCAAACAGGAGGAGAGCCGAGTTTTGAAACAGTAAACTGCTAAGTGCACATTTATTAAAGGGAGCGCTCTGCTTCCCAATTTAGGGAGGAAAATACAACCTAGCTCTGGCATCCTTTGAGGGAAAGAGTTCTTGTTTAATAACACACCCCATTACCAAAAGACCTTTTAAGGTTTTTGAAAGCACCAGAAGAACTAGATGGTACCCGACTAACACCAATGACCGCCCTGACAGGGAATACAACAGAGAGTCCTGGATGGAGCAGGAGAAACGTGGGGTGCAGAACTCAAATTCTAGTAAGAAGACCAGACTTAATGGTCTGACTGAGATTAGAGGAACCCCGGAAGACATGGCCGCAAGACTCTCTATTAGCCGAAAACTAAAACCATTCTCAAGGCCAACTCTTCAGACAAAGATTTGACTGGACTATGGGACGTAAAATGATCTCGTGAAAAGTATGTTTCTTAGCTGAAGTAGATACATGAGTCTAAATGGGGAGCTCCTGTCCAGAGGTGAGATGAGAAGGTAGAGAGGGTTATGAGCTGGTTGAATGGACATGGGGAATCAGGGGTGGAAAGGAGGAGTGTGCTGTCACAGTACGGGGACAGCAATTAGAGTCACATAACAATGTATGTATAAATTTTTGTATGGGATAAAATAAAAAGTCAAAAAAAATAAGAAGATTTTTGAAAGCAGTCCCTTGTCTCTTAAGGGGTGTAACAATGTTTGCCTCTTTTCTGCTATGAGCTTGTCGGCGTTTGTGCTGGAAGGATCCACTGCTTACAGTAAGCATCTGGAAGAGACTCAGGTGTTGGGGACTTGTCTTCACGCAGACTCCGGGTTGTGCACCACAGCACCTGGAAGGCCGGCTCCAAACGAGCTGATCACAAGAGGTACTCTTCTCTCTGCGTTTCTTCATGGAGTGGGCATGCCCTTAGCTGGCTCAGATGGAACAGCTCCTCCCTCCCCCATAGTCTCTGTCCATAACGCTTTTCTCTATTAAGACGTGAACTGAGTTTACTTCTATTTCACAGTCAGCAGCTACTGAAGACGAATGTTTTTTAACATTTACATATTCAATCAAAAAGCACGTTTCTAAAATCTGTTTGAGGACCACCTACTTTGGGGATTTTTTAAAATCATTTTGCACCTTTCTTCCTGCTAATATTAAGCCAGTATTAGCTCTTGAAATGTGTTACTGTTTGATGACAGAATGATTTAACAAATTACAGTAAAGACATGCTGTTCCGTTCACTGCTGTCGAGTCGGCTCCTATTCATGGCGACCTTACGTATCACGGAAAGAAACGCTGCCCAGTCCGGCATCACCTCCATGTTTGAGTCCTTTGTTGTGGCCACCATGCCAACGCATCTCACGGAGGGCTTCCCTCATTTTTGCTGGCCCTCCAATTTACCAAGCACGACATCCTTCTCCAGCGATTGGTCTTTCCTGATGACACGTCCAAGGCGAGAGAGCCGAGGTCTCCCAGCCTGGCTTCTAAGGAGCACTCTGGCTGTATTTCTCCCAAGATTGATTTGTTCATTTTTTCTGTCAGTTCGTAGTACATTCAATATTCTTTGCCAACACCACAGTTCAAATGCACGGGGGGAGTTCAAATGGTTTTAGAGTACAATGTACTACAGGGCTTGGGTTCCAGGTATGAGGCATACTGCTATATGCTCTATATGATTGACGTCACTTAATGGTCGTAACTCTGAGAAACGAACACGGCCACTGCTCTTGCTAGCAAGACTTTATAGGTTTGGAAATGCAGGCTCAGAAAAGATAACCCAGTTAAATTCCGGGGCAGCCAGGATTTAAGGTTCTGCTGCCTGACACGAAACCCTATGTCATCTTAAGGTGGAAGAGAAAACTTTCGAAGCTGTGTAATGGGAAGACGCTTAGGGTAGCATCCCAAATGGGAGAGGAAAAAAAAACCCACAACAAAACAAAACAGAAGGCAGACGTGCGCTTATAGTCCGTCCCGAACATACACAGGAAACACTGGGAGGGCGGGGAATACATGGAAATATCAACTAGTTCCGTCCTGGTGGCGCAATA